AATAACTTGAGGGAAGGGCCTAGCAAGTAGAGGCGGGAGCGTATCAAGGCCCTGAGCCTCAAGCAGCTCCGTCGACCCATTTCAGCAATCCTGTCCACGACTAAGCCTAAAGAGCAGACGAACTGATAGAGCGTTTCCAGACTACTAGCGTAGCAAAGAAGCAATCCGACTGTGCTGCACTCCCCCGCGGTCACCTCCCGATCTCAGACAATTCTCGGGACCCTTTCACGGTGACGTACCTGAACCTGAGCTCAAAGTGCAACTCCTAACTCTTTTGTTCATCTTCTTTTGCCTCGATATCCTCTCTCCCTCTCGCCAAGGATAACTTTCTACATCGCGCGCGAATACAGTATTCCGCGTGCCCGCCAAGACGTCGCAAGACAAAGCGCGGCAACTCCCTACTCTGTTGACCCTCCCTCCCACAAAAAAAACACAAAATCAAGAAGCATTGGATAAAAATCGCTTAGAAACAATATCAAAATTGGATAGGGATCGGAAATTACTTCGGCCGTCGCGTCCCAATTGTGTGGCACACCCCGACACAGAGCGAGCGCGAGCGCGACTTGCAGCGCACGCTATGTTCCTATAGTGCTTTTCTATCGGCCCCATAGTCGCTAGTGTCACTCCCTCTCCTTACAAACCATTAGATTATCTTTCACCGAAAAAAGTGGCCGACACGGTGTCGTTACTAGTAGTCACAGATTTTTAGAGACACAGTTGCATCCCTTCTACGACAGAGAGTAGAACAGAGACGTTTTGACCGCAGTAGAGCGGCAATTGTGCAGAATCGCCCAGAATATTCCAAAAAAAGCTATACGCGACAAGCGATCGTTAGAAGTGTAAAGAAGTCCGGACGCCTATGAACCTAATATATATATTACAAGAAAAAAATGTCAAACCCCCACCAAGTTGAATCCTGCTTTCGCTCCGTGATCTCGGTAATAGCATTTAGCCCGGATAAGTAAAGGTTGTTCGGATTAAAAGGATGAAGTGAAATACCCGAATGGCTGGAAGGGCTGTGCGGTTGCTGACGATTGATTGAACGTCCTTGGTGAGAGAACGCTAAGGGATTCACAACAACACCTCCCAACCGCCGAGGGCCTAACCAGTACAACAACGTGACTACAGCGGAGTCATCAGAACCCAAGCAACGTCCTCAGCCATCACAGTCGCTCCTTGAACAATGGCATCATGAACCACTGGCATCGATAGGCTCGCGAATTCTTTAAAATAAAGTATTCAGCCGCTCCGTGAGACACTCCGAAGTACTGTAACGCTTGCAATTACAGTTTTGATGGTCGTCTTCAATGGGGTCAGATGTGCCCGTCATTGAATTACATCCGCGACCAGTCAAAGTGCGGTGAGTAGATCTTTATCTGAGTTCTTCTCTCTGCAGCCAAAAAGGCTTGTTTCGATGGAAATCAGCTCTGCGAATGACAATATGGCTTGGAGCTCATACTAGTGGAAAACACTGGGCATTACATGGTTTATAACGGTGAGCACAAAGCATTTGCCGTTGATCGATCTCTTTCTGGGATGGAATGTCACTCGCCCGTCTACTTCCCCTATCGACCCATTTCGAATGCGAACGCGATTCCTCGCTTATCACAATGAGGGGGGGGGGTTTGCCGCTGTACAGTCAGTGTTATTACCGGCTCCAGAGCAAGATCTGATACCAATTAAATCCCGATCCCAGAGGGAAGAAGCTGGGTTGCCCCGGGCGAACCAAGCCACCACAGTACTTGATCCCGGACCGAATTGGCCGCGTGGTAAGCGTGCCACTTGCCACTACACCATTTCCCTAGTTGTCCTAGTTGTCCGCCCTAGTTGGCCCATATATACAACAAAATAAGAAATGTTGTCAAAAATCTGCTACTGTGAGCCGATTTGCTCCCTGAATGAAACTAGAGACTTACAGCTTCCTACAGTATGGTTGTTGCCTGAGACAAAGGGATTTGCTCATTACCAAGCTAAATATTATAATTGTTGATGCCAGCAGTACAAATCAGGGTCAACCGTCGTTAGACCAAGTCCAACCGAAGGGTGCGGTCGTATTTGGTGAAAAAGACGGGTGAGTCGTATTGAGGCCCTCAAAGCGGGGGGGGGCCGAAAATTTTCGAAATCGGTCCAACGTGACGGTCGACCCTGTGCACAATAAAAAAATCGATGCTGGTAAAAATAGTGCCATGGTCATGCGGCCATTTGTTCGAGAAGGATATCAAGCAGAAGCTTTTGCCATGCGGTGCCGTCGCTGTCGGCTGAATTCATGTCAATCGAGCTTTGCATATCACCAAACAGGGGCCTTATTAAGTACCACACAACCTCTAACCATGGGTTACGCTAAACTCAAAGATTCACAGAGTTCAGGCGGTTGTTCAGCCGAAGGACAATTAGACAGCGCACAACAGTGTGCAATGGGTAAGATAAGCTAAGTTCATTTCACCTTGAGCGGAATCAAGACGATATACCATATTGGGGCCAATGGTCGGTGATCAACCCCACCTGCGACTTTTCGCACGGAATTCACTCCGAAGATCGCCAATTCTTTGCCCTACCGCGCTCTCCCTCGCCATAAACGGGTCCGGCGTGGTTGGGTGGAGTGGCTTTGTGGACTTGTAAACCTCAGCCTTCGCCTTACGTTGAGGGGCTTTTCTGATCCGGACCCCCATCAAGGCTTAGAGTTAGATATTACCCTTCTTCCTTGTACGGTTTTGTTGTCTTTCCCAGGGCTTGCCTTTTGAGGCACGGTTCGAGACTTGTGGTTGAAGTTGGGCCTTCGTTCGAGAGAAATGCAGTGGTGTGCAAGCGGAGAGCATTTTCAATGATGCAGCGATGATTTCACAGGGCCCAAGCGCCAAGGTCCAAGGAGACTGCAGCATTGGTCCCGCCCAATTCCACTGACCGCGGCCCGCCCACCAATTAATGCTATTCGCTCGCTTCGCCGCTACCGGAGAGGGGGTTTCGTTCGTCCTTTCCAATGATTTATTCCCGCTTTGCCATTATTGGCGTTACATTTCACATCCCCACTGTCAGTTACAAGCTTGATAACACAGCGTGTTCGGTCCTGAACCTTTGCCCTTTCTCACTCCTCAGTACCGCCCCATCCCGAAAACTGGGCTACTTGACTTCCCCCATTATTTAACCCAACATTTTTATAGACACAAATGTTCTCGAATGCTCACAAAAACTGCTAGGACGTCACCCTCCTTTTCACATTTTTCCAGATGCGATGGAGGTCCATCCGCTGGTAATCCTGTGCTTAACTAACAATCAAGGGTACGTCACGAGGAAATCTATGGCCGCCAAGGTAGAGTTCAACGCAGTTCCAGTTTATGCAAATTCACCATGCCTCCGTGAGAGACTGCTGCTCCATACCAAGTTTCCCCCGTGTAGAGATTCCAACGCGAGTACTGTAAGCCAAAAGCGCCGTTATATAAAGGAACGCCGCCATGCAAAAGACAGTGCCAACCCGGGTACGACAAGACCTATGAGGAAGACAAGCTGTACGGTAAGTGTATCTGTAGTTGGAAGCACAAGTCGGGATCAAATTTGTGTGTTTTTCAGTTCGAAAATGAAACAAGGAGTGCAATGAGGAGGTTTGTGTGAGGAGGAAGAGCATAAAGCTCCAGAGAAGCCTAAAACACCTCTAGGGGGTCGGCCGTGGTGTAGAGAAATACAGCGCTACGATGAGGTGGAAATGCGTCCTACTACTACGTGATATGGGAGAGAGTGCAAACGTCGCGTATAACGCGATAGATAAGGGTGAAGCGGTTGCAGCGGCCCTTCTTCCAGGCTTAGCTCTATAGTGGTATTTCCTGCGTTTTTCTTGGTTTCGGCTCACTTAGCACAAATGCTTCATATTTCAACACCTTACTCCGTTCTATCCCGGATTTCGCCATCAGTGACCAGAAAAAGGGTCCGATCGCGCTCAGAAAATCCTGTCGGCCTAAGATGTAGGCTCAGTACTGGGAGCAGTTTCTCGCTACCTATAAGTTTATAGGTTTGAAAAGACGGGTCACGCTTAGGGTCTTGCAGCAGTTCTCTCCATAAGCTACGTGCGCGCGGTCTTCAAGCGCAGAAGTCGTCGCTCTGTCGTGACTAGCCAATGCGCAACATGGGGCTAGAGCCCCCCCCCCTTGATCCAGGCTTGACCGCTGCCATTTCTAGTCATTCGCATGCAGTGTCTGCTCCCTCCCGTGCGATGCGCTCTCCCATGTGTTCCCTCCACCCTGCGCTGTGTCTTCTCCATCGCACCACGGTTGACACCACAGGGCAAGAGGCCCTTAATTCAGTACCTTTTTGATTCCTTCTGCTCCTTTCCCTCAATGATAAACCTCTTCACACATCCTGTTTCTTTCCCGAGCGCAATAGCACATCATTTCGATCGCGACCAGTACCTCTAAAGCAGGGTCAACCGTCCGTTGGACAAGGGGGGTCGTATTTGGGGGGGGATGGAAAAGGGGGTCGTGTTTCGCGAGGTAGCGTCAATGTTACAGTAAGGAGAAGGGATGTTTTTTTTTCTTGTAGGCTGGGCTTTTGGGTTGAGTGTGAGTGTGAAAATTTTGCCGTTTCACGTTCATATATACCCCCGCTCGACGGCAATTTTGGAGGGAAAAGTGGGCGGAGTTGGGCTGTGTCGACTGATCTCAGAATCAAATACTATAGAATCGCCCCCCGGCAGGCGAGGGTGGTGGAGGATGGTCGTGAGGAGTTGGCCCTGGGGGGGGGTCGTATCGAGGCCCTCCAGAAGGGGGAGGGGGGTCGTAAAATTTTCGAAATTGGTCCAACGTGACGGTTGATCTTGCTTTAAAGACACAAAAGTATTGATAAATTGAACTGATAACCCAACTTTCGACCTCTGCTGCCCCTGACTCTACTCAGCTCCATGCCACTGTCTAACAACAGATCCGAACACTTTAGTTTCTGCTACAACTCTGACACGTTTAGGCATAAACGGCTACTCGGTAGGGACCACGGTGGCGGACATCCAGAGTGAAATCATGCAGCGCGGATCGGTCGCCGCAGTATACACCGTTTATCAGGACTTCTATCATTACAAGTCAGGAATCTATAAGGTAAGACTTCGCAGAGCAATTCAGAATTCCCCCCCCCCCCAATTGAACAAAGTAAGCCTATATTCTACCTCGACATCTGCGAATGCCTACCGGTTGCAACTCTATATTTTGCTCCTCCAAATTGCCTAGAGCACTCAGTTTCAAGATTGAAGGCGCTTTAGGTTCGTTAGAGTGTTCCTCCGTTGGTTGCTCCTTTTCCCTGAGCATAATCCTGGTATTAGTGATTCCTTAGACTCATTCATTCATTCTAAACATACACCTACGCCCAAGTCTTGATTTTATGATGCAGCAAAATACAGAATTTACCCTTACCCCACCCTGTTAAAAAAAACGTAGAGTTTGAAAATTCTCCAGTTTTTTCGTCCTTTTGTTGCAACTTATTTTGCTTTCATCACTCGCAGAAAATTATACCATTAACTTTGGCTCGCAGAGTTCTATACCACGGCGTCGAAAAATTCTGAAAACCCGGGCTTATGAATTCTCGATTCCATCAAATCACAAATACTACTAGTCAAATCACCTTTGCCATGACTTGATAAGCATTCACTGGAAGCTTTTAGCAACTCACTGCGCTTCTACCCTATCCGGGAGCAGAATTGCATGAAAGAGAGCCTACAGTGTCATCCCACCAGGCTGAACTCTGCCACATTCACCTGCTTTGTCTT